TGGTGTCCAAGATTCGCCATGGACAGCATTGTTGGTAGTTGGACTTGTTTGTGCTCACTCTTTTACCCAGTCTGTCAATTGACAGCTATTTAGAGTGCATGATAGGAACTATTTGTGCTGTAGACATAAAAACATGTACATGTTGCCCCCCCCCCCCCCCCCCCCCCCCCTTTGAATCTGGCAGGCGAGAGACCACTCGAAAATGTTTGAGAGTAGCTGTGTAGAACTGACATGTTCTAACATTCTGATGACACAATTATTCATATTAAAAGGTATGCTTAACCGAAATTCGAAGCTTGCAAAACAACACTGGGGCGGTAGGCGGGACGCTGCAAAACCCCCAAAACATCACACACAGAGCATTATTTCTAACGGATGGCCGTATTTTTGGAAACATGTGGGATTCAACAAGGCCGACGAGACATGTGATGTCGCGATTCTCATTCCCTCTCCTCTAGGCTTCATCCCCTTAAGCAGGTGAACTGAAGCGGGAATGAGAGAACCGAGGCCGCTTCCCCTCATTCTAAAGTGTACCAGGAGAAGTATGATGTCACATTTCTTGTTTGATTGTGCCCTTTCCTTTCCAAGAATACGGCCATCCGTTTGAGATATTAATGTATGAGTGATGTTTCGGAGTTTGTAGAGCTCCTATTCAAAGCTTCCGCGGCCTTATTTCGTGAAATCCAAATTTTGGTCCAGCATCCTTTTAAACAAGCTTTTTCAAATATTAGCATAATGAACATACAATTGGACAACTTGCTAACTTACAACAGTATCCTCCCGATGATGCCGTACAAAGGTTCTGTCACACGCACCAACCGAGGGGATTGCTGCAAGTCCATCCACCCTCAACTTTTAGTCACCTTTGAGCCTGAAGAACTGCTGTATGAGGCCCGTCCAGCCACTGAGCACACAAAGAGAAACACGGGAAATAACACTCAGTGACGAGCAAAGTCTCTGGGCGGAAAGCCCTCCATGACAAATGAGCACTGTTGGGTTACGGCAACGGCGTAATACACAGGTTCTGCTTCTTCGATGCCTTCACCGCTGCAATGAGTGGTCGTAGCTAGTCGTAGCAGATAGTGTCACGTTTGTTGCTCGTACCAAAACACCAAAGCCGTGTAGTATTCTTGTTGCCGAAGTTCATAAGCCTACGTTCCCGGTCTACACACACTACACAAAGCCAGCCACGAGCAAAGCTAGTTAACCCCGTTTCTGCTTCGGCGACAAGCCGCCAGGGCGGTGACACCGCCGCTGAAACTTCTGCCTCGGCTCTTCAAACCAGGGCCCCTCAGTGCACAAGCATGACACTTGCTAGGCTGCTCTGCCTGTACCAAGTGACACGCGCTCGCATGTTCCCTCTCATAATTCTTCTGACTGTACGTGCCCCGTATTGTACACGGCCATACTGTGCACATGGCGAAAGTTCCCTTTTGAAAGTGCTTCACGGTCGGCCTACAATGCTGCGAACACATAGCACATGACCACTATAGGTGACGACACTTAGGACACTTGCCATCCGTCGTTGTGGCGCAAAGTCACTTTCTCAGTCGTCCTCACAAGGGACAAGGAAAGGCAGGCACTGCATAAAAAATCAATACATATTATAACACTGGTTGTGGCAAACTAGTTTCAAAGATGATACAGTCATGTCTTCTTAATATGGACACCTCCGTACTATAAAAAGATTTTTTTTCTATTATGTAAGGTGTTTATATGAGAAAATTAAATTTAAAACGAAAATTGGATAACAAGCATAACCAAACAAACAGTTTATTCAGCTAAAAGATAATGAGATGTGAGTTTGCTCTATCACTTTAGAGCCGTTTAACATGTAGCACTACTGTCGTTTACAAGAACAGATACCTAGGCTGTAAAGTGATGATCGGCTGAATAGCAAAAGATGTTGCACTGTATGCACAAGCCGGATGTAATTGACACTTAGCTGCCGGCAGTTAGGATCCTATAATCTTATGATCGCAGACGGGAATTACATCTGGTGCCTACAGCTGGAATAATGTCTTGCTTCGTAATAGAAAAAGCAAAAAAAAAACACAGGATGGAGAAACCGGGTGTCACAAATTCAGACTTCTCTTCATTTTTTTAAATACTTTTATGATCTTTTTTTTGGACCACTTTAAGTGTTGGTACGGTCAAAAAGGGGGAGTGTGGTGCCACTTTTAATCTCAGTTCGTCCCGTCGTAGTTCCTTTCTAAGTCCCTAACGAATTTGCTCGTTTGCGGAATGGGTTTTTGTTAACGGGCGACGTAGATCATCCCCGGTCACAGTTTGTGGCTTTGACCTCGCGGACGGAGGGGTGCGTATGCTGGCTCACGTATGGTGCCGATTTGACATGCAGGGGCGCCGCCGGGATACAAAGATGTTTACGCTGGCTAGCGCGCTTTTTGAAGGCGGCGGCTTTGCTCAGTCTGCCGCCTGTCGTGTTCTATGTATCGGCGATAATTGATGTTTTTGGACTCGTACGGGGGAATGGATGGGCACATATGTTTGGCTGTCTGAAAAATGTAATAGGTTTTGCCATTTGGGTCGTTGCTGTGTGGCTTTGTTTTTCTTGAAAGTTGACTGACCCGAAAGGCAGGGAAACGGGAGGTTGGTCGGTAGACGAGCCTATAAAAGGGGGTTCGGGAACAAAGAAGGTAGTCCAACCCCAGAGCTGGCCGGGTCGCTGCTCAACGCGGTTACTCCCTGCAGATGAGTCTTGGAACGTGTAATTTTTGGCTTCTGCCCTGCCTGTTGGGCAAGTGTTTGAGTTTGTTGTGCTGAAGCGTGTGTGGCTGTGTGGTGCGCGGTGTCGACCTCATCAAGCCTCTAATTGGACCGCTGGACTCCGAAACGCCGTTCTTCGGCCGACAACTCCAGACTACGGACTGCTCTGGACTCAGCACCTACCGGAAAGCTAAGCCTGGTTTTCTAGGACTTGTCTACTGCATTCTCTGGCTCTGAAGTATGAATTGTTGAATGTTGGGAAGATTTTTACACAGTGCTACTTTCTGTCGCGACTGTTTTGGGGGATTATCCCATGTGTGTAGCGGTAACGTTCGAGCTCCATCTCGGTTTGCTCTCGTTGTTAGTGTCGGGTTTTCGTCACTGTTTTGTTGGCTTATTCCGGTTTTATGAGCGTCGAGTCTTTTTAGTATTAATTTCTGGCTCGCAGGGCTCCATAGCTTTGAGCTGGAGTGTGGTTTGTGTTGAGTGCTCTATTGCCGTGTACAGCTTAGTTTTTCACTTTATTAAATCTAATCTTTTGTTTGCTTATCCTCCCTGTGTCATCATCTTTCTCTACTGATTATACACCAGGCGTGGACCTAGCGCTAGTCAATGGTCGAACTTAGCTCTCTTGTTCTTTTCCCGTAATTTCTCGTTTATCCTCAGAGGGGATCATTGAATTATTTTTATTAATTTGAACCCCACTCCGAGACACCGAAACAGATGGGAAAGCACCACAACGTATTAAACTCGTCGAACATTAAATGTTCTTGAATTATACCTCACCCATGCTTGCTACGTGATGAAGCCCAAAGGTTAGTTCAATGCCAATCAATATTAAATGTCTTTAGATGGGCACCTGCTGCCCGATCATGGCCTTTATTGCAAAGCACTGTTCACACATTTGCGAGTCGTGCAGTGCCTTGTGGAATGGTGGGCGATACTTGCCGTTCCGCAAGGCACTGCAAGACAGATCAGGCTCAACTTTTGAATGTCGACGTGCTTACGGAATGCTGCAGCAAACCAATCATTCGCCGAGGGAAAAAGAAAGGAAGCTGCATGCCTCCGTGTGCTCATTGCCAGTGTTTTCTGCTGTGCTATGTACCCTGCTTGTGTGCTGTGATTTGCAAGCCAGTGCGGGATATATTTCCTTGATTTGTTTGTCTGTTCAGCTGTGCGAGGTTGTGATTGAAACAACCAAGAAGTATAGACCGCCATTCTTTTCATCAAGCTAAGGCTTCGCTCATCCGAACCGGGGACGATGACTGCTGTTGTTTACACGATTTTCGACAGCTATGTGGAGTGGCTTTGTGTTTAAAATTGCAATCCTAAGTGCAAAAAGAAGTTACCGCAGACTATATTGTTAAAGGTTGATTTCAACTGGCAGGCTCTGGCTACAACCACCTTAATATTCGTTCAACATTGTTTGCATTTCTACTTACCCGTGATCGCTTCATTTGCCAAACACGTTAGTGGCCGGTCACCTTACCAATGAAACTAATGTGCTGGTGTCTCCGGCCAAGAATTCCCTCAGGGCTACATGCAATGCACAATCCAGTTTGTAGCCCGTTGTGACTGAAAGCTTTCGCACTGGGGAAACGTTGTTGTCACAAACGCAGTCAAAGAATGCGATAGGATTGAGGGAACAGGGGGATTGTCCAAGTTGACTGACTGCATGAGCATATGTTTCTATCGCTACCGTGTTTCCTCCACGCAGGCGACGGAGAAAACGATATAGAGACTCCTCGCGCTTGCTAAGTTTCTCTAAAACGTCGAAATACGAGACACCCAGCAGCGAAGTGTCGATATTGCCGGAGAGAGCGGCGGGACAACGATCAGCGCAGGATCGCGGCTTCGCCACTCTTATGCGACGGTGTCTTCGGTTTCCACTCTCTGCAGCTTCCACCGGGACGCTAGCCGTGCCTAATTGTGCTAGCTTTGAGCACCACAGTTCATAGGGTTCACAGCGCCCGAGTGAAAGCTCGCGCAAAAGAACCGGCGAGCAGTCGAGTCGTTTCCAATCAACGGGGTGGCTAAACGCCGGTTGTGTGAATCGGGCTTAACGCCTGAGCCGGCTTGCTCAAAGCAAATCTAACGTTCTTGAATGGCATGTAATAAAAATCTGAGACGTGCTACATTCTATACAAACTTGATAAAAAAAAATCAAACACTCACCTTCGGCTGCTACGTCCGCCGTACCGCTTCAAGGCAGAAGCAACATGGCGCTCGACGTTTTGGCAGTTTTGGGGTGAAACGGCCGCAGCGTCCAGGGAGCGCACCGCGCCTTTCCTGTTCCCGCGTATTTCCGGCGCTTGCTGTTGTCGTCCGCTACGCCGCTACGCTTTGAAATGATCGCCGCGCTCTTCGACGAAGATGATGAGTTTGGTCAATTTCTGGAGGACCGACGTCGACGAAAACGACGCCGAAGATTTATTTTGGAGTGCCTGGACGACGTTTTCTCGGGTAAGGCATACGCACAGCCTATCTATGCGCAGACAGCAGACTTGCGAAAGGCGCGCGAATCGCTTTTGGTAAGCGATCATTACTCGACTTTTAGACTTTTATCGTGTACCGTGCCTTCAAACTTTTCCCCTGCGACGTGAGATTACCTTCGGCTTGTCGGCTGTTGTCTAGCGGCGTCTTGGTAATCGCGCCGAAGGAAGCTATCTTGTGATGTCAGTTGCACAGTCAATTGTCATAGTAGGGTAATTTTAAAGCATTTAAAAATTTCTAGGGCAATTTTAGAACACAAGAGACTACTGATCGTGCGTTCGTGTTGGTTTAGCGGCGATATTTATTGATGTAAAGTCGCGAAGCCACAGAAAGGCAGATGACACGTAAACAGATAGCACCGCTGCTAATAAAGATGAGACGTATTGTCGTTTGATTGCGGTTGATCAGCTGTGCTCTGGCGACCTGAGCACTTGGCGTTTATGACATGCCCTGATTATATTAAAAACACCATACCCCATTACTAAAATCATGCCTATGTATATTACACCCCCAACTTCGGGTTCCAGAACCAGCAGATCCACCAAGCCAAGGCATTCGTGATTATGTCTGCAACGTTGTCCCCCTGTACACGGACCTGGAGTTCAAGGAGCATTTTCGAATGTACAGGCCAACATTTGAAGTATGTATTTTTTGTACAGCTTAACACTTATGATCTAACATGCATTGCATGTACTGGGGCAAGTTTAAAGATAAGTACTTAACTGAGTTGTATCTGCCCCTCTTCAATTTTCGCCTTTATTTTTAACTGATGCTGCTTCACTTGGTAAATTGCATCAAACATTTACTGAAAGCAACTCTCAACAGTCGGGAAGAGGCCTCAGTAGGCACTATCTGGAGGTGTGCATCCTTTACTTCACTGCCACTTTACAATATTTTGTCCCTTCTAGGGACCTAACTATCTCTGACCCCAGTGTGATGGCATGCCGGCAAATTATGAAGAGGGACTAAAATAACAAAAATTTCTACTCTGTTTTGGTTCAAGTGTCGGTATCCCTCCTTTCATCTCTTCTACAGACCTGCATGAAAGTATCTCTGACACCAGTGTGAGGGCATGTCTGAGTGTCACGAGAAAGAAATAAAATAGCAAAAATTTGTACTCTGTTTTGTTTCAAGTGTCGGTATTTCTCCTCTCGTACCTTCTACGTGCCCGCATGAAACTATCTCCGACCCCAGTGTGATGGCATGTCTGCAAGTCACGAAGGTGGAATAAAATAGCAAAAATTTTTACTCTGGTTTGGTTCAAGTGTCGGCATTTCTCCTCTCGTATCTTCTACGTGCCCGCATGAAACTATCTCCGACCCCAGTGTGATGGCATGTCTGCAAGTCACGAAGAAGGAATAAAATAGCAAAATTTTTTACTCTGTTTTGGTTCAAGTGTCGGTATTTCTCCTCTCGTATCTTCTACGTGCCCGCATGAAACTATCTCTGACCCCACTGTGATGGCATGTCTGCAAGTCACGAAGAAGGAATAAAATAGCAAAAATTTTTACTCTGTTTTGGTTCAAGTGTCGGTATTTCTCCTCTCGTACCTTCTACGTGCCCGCATGAAACTATCTCCGACCCTAGTGTGATGGCATGTCTGCAAGTCACGAAGAAGGAATAAAATAGCAAAAATTTTTACTCTGTTTTGGTTCAAGTGTCGGTATTTCTCCTCTCGTATCTTCTACGTGCCCGCATGAAACTATCTCCGACCCCAGTGTGATGGCATGTCTGCAAGTCACGAAGGTGGAATAAAATAGCAAAAATTTTTACTCTGTTTTGGTTCAAGTGTCGGTATTTCTCCTCTCGTACCTTCTACGTGCCCGCATGAAACTATCTCCGACCCTAGTGTGATGGCATGTCTGCAAGTCACGAAGAAGGAATAAAATAGCAAAAATTTTTACTCTGTTTTGGTTCAAGTGTCGGTATTTCTCCTCTCGTATCTTCTACGTGCCCGCATGAAACTATCTCCGACCCCAGTGTGATGGCATGTCTGCAAGTCACGAAGAAGGAATAAAATAGCAAAAATTTTTACTCTGGTTTGGTTCAAGTGTCGGCATTTCTCCTCTCGTATCTTCTACGTGCCCGCATGAAACTATCTCCGACCCCAGTGTGATGGCATGTCTGCAAGTCACGAAGAAGGAATAAAATAGCAAAAATTTTTACTCTGTTTTGGTTCAAGTGTCGGTATTTCTCCTCTCGTATCTTCTACGTGCCCGCATGAAACTATCTCCGACCCCAGTGTGATGGCATGTCTGCAAGTCACGAAGGTGGAATAAAATAGCAAAAATTTTTACTCTGTTTTGGTTCAAGTGTCGGTATTTCTCCTCTCGTACCTTCTACGTGCCCGCATGAAACTATCTCCGACCCTAGTGTGATGGCATGTCTGCAAGTCACGAAGAAGGAATAAAATAGCAAAAATTTTTACTCTGTTTTGGTTCAAGTGTCGGTATTTCTCCTCTCGTATCTTCTACGTGCCCGCATGAAACTATCTCCGACCCCAGTGTGATGGCATGTCTGCAAGTCACGAAGGTGGAATAAAATAGCAAAAATTTTTACTCTGTTTTGGTTCAAGTGTCGGTATTTCTCCTCTCGTACCTTCTACGTGCCCGCATGAAACTATCTCCGACCCTAGTGTGATGGCATGTCTGCAAGTCACGAAGGTGGAATAAAATAGCAAAAATTTTTACTCTGTTTTGGTTCAAGTGTCGGTATTTCTCCTCTCGTATCTTCTACGTGCCCGCATGAAACTATCTCCGACCCCAGTGTGATGGCATGTCTGCAAGTCACGAAGGTGGAATAAAATAGCAAAAATTTTTACTCTGTTTTGGTTCAAGTGTCGGTATTTCTCCTCTCGTATCTTCTACGTGCCCGCATGAAACTATCTCCGACCCCAGTGTGATGGCATGTCTGCAAGTCACGAAGGTGGAATAAAATAGCAAAAATTTTTACTCTGTTTTGGTTCAAGTGTCGGTATTTCTCCTCTCGTACCTTCTACGTGCCCGCATGAAACTATCTCCGACCCTAGTGTGATGGCATGTCTGCAAGTCACGAAGAAGGAATAAAATAGCAAAAATTTTTACTCTGTTTTGGTTCAAGTGTCGGTATTTCTCCTCTCGTATCTTCTACGTGCCCGCATGAAACTATCTCCGACCCCAGTGTGATGGCATGTCTGCAAGTCACGAAGGTGGAATAAAATAGCAAAAATTTTTACTCTGTTTTGGTTCAAGTGTCGGTATTTCTCCTCTCGTACCTTCTACGTGCCCGCATGAAACTATCTCCGACCCTAGTGTGATGGCATGTCTGCAAGTCACGAAGAAGGAATAAAATAGCAAAAATTTTTACTCTGTTTTGGTTCAAGTGTCGGTATTTCTCCTCTCGTACCTTCTACGTGCCCGCATGAAACTATCTCCGACCCTAGTGTGATGGCATGTCTGCAAGTCACGAAGAAGGAATAAAATAGCAAAAATTTTTACTCTGTTTTGGTTCAAGTGTCGGTATTTCTCCTCTCGTATCTTCTACGTGCCCGCATGAAACTATCTCCGACCCCAGTGTGATGGCATGTCTGCAAGTCACGAAGGTGGAATAAAATAGCAAAAATTTTTACTCTGTTTTGGTTCAAGTGTCGGTATTTCTCCTCTCGTACCTTCTACGTGCCCGCATGAAACTATCTCCGACCCCACTGTGATGGCATGTCTGCAAGTCACGAAGAAGGAATAAAATAGCAAAAATTTTTACTCTGTTTTGGTTCAAGTGTCGGTATTTCTCCTCTCGTATCTTCTACGTGCCCGCATGAAACTATCTCCGACCCCATTGTGATGGCATGTCTGCAAGTCACGAAGGTGGAATAAAATAGCAAAAATTTTTACTCTGTTTTGGTTCAAGTGTCGGTATTTCTCCTCTCGTATCTTCTACGTGCCCGCATGAAACTATCTCCGACCCCAGTGTGATGGCATGTCTGCAAGTCACGAAGGTGGAATAAAATAGCAAAAATTTTTACTCTGTTTTGGTTCAAGTGTCGGTATTTCTCCTCTCGTACCTTCTACGTGCCCGCATGAAACTATCTCCGACCCCACTGTGATGGCATGTCTGCAAGTCACGAAGGTGGAATAAAATAGCAAAAATTTTTACTCTGTTTTGGTTCAAGTGTCGGTATTTCTCCTCTCGTATCTTCTACGTGCCCGCATGAAACTATCTCCGACCCCAGTGTGATGGCATGTCTGCAAGTCACGAAGGTGGAATAAAATAGCAAAAATTTTTACTCTGTTTTGGTTCAAGTGTCGGTATTTCTCCTCTCGTACCTTCTACGTGCCCGCATGAAACTATCTCCGACCCTAGTGTGATGGCATGTCTGCAAGTCACGAAGAAGGAATAAAATAGCAAAAATTTTTACTCTGTTTTGGTTCAAGTGTCGGTATTTCTCCTCTCGTATCTTCTACGTGCCCGCATGAAACTATCTCCGACCCCAGTGTGATGGCATGTCTGCAAGTCACGAAGGTGGAATAAAATAGCAAAAATTTTTACTCTGTTTTGGTTCAAGTGTCGGTATTTCTCCTCTCGTACCTTCTACGTGCCCACATGAAACTATCTCCGACCCTAGTGTGATGGCATGTCTGCAAGTCACGAAGAAGGAATAAAATAGCAAAAATTTTTACTCTGTTTTGGTTCAAGTGTCGGTATTTCTCCTCTCGTACCTTCTACGTGCCCGCATGAAACTATCTCCGACCCTAGTGTGATGGCATGTCTGCAAGTCACGAAGAAGGAATAAAATAGCAAAAATTTTTACTCTGTTTTGGTTCAAGTGTCGGTATTTCTCCTCTCGTATCTTCTACGTGCCCGCATGAAACTATCTCCGACCCCAGTGTGATGGCATGTCTGCAAGTCACGAAGGTGGAATAAAATAGCAAAAATTTTTACTCTGTTTTGGTTCAAGTGTCGGTATTTCTCCTCTCGTACCTTCTACGTGCCCGCATGAAACTATCTCCGACCCCACTGTGATGGCATGTCTGCAAGTCACGAAGAAGGAATAAAATAGCAAAAATTTTTACTCTGTTTTGGTTCAAGTGTCGGTATTTCTCCTCTCGTATCTTCTACGTGCCCGCATGAAACTATCTCCGACCCCATTGTGATGGCATGTCTGCAAGTCACGAAGGTGGAATAAAATAGCAAAAATTTTTACTCTGTTTTGGTTCAAGTGTCGGTATTTCTCCTCTCGTATCTTCTACGTGCCCGCATGAAACTATCTCCGACCCCAGTGTGATGGCATGTCTGCAAGTCACGAAGGTGGAATAAAATAGCAAAAATTTTTACTCTGTTTTGGTTCAAGTGTCGGTATTTCTCCTCTCGTATCTTCTACGTGCCCGCATGAAACTATCTCCGACCCTAGTGTGATGGCCTGTCTGCAAGTCACGAAGAAGGAATAAAATAGCAAAAATTTTTACTCTGTTTTGGTTCAAGTGTCGGTATTTCTCCTCTCGTATCTTCTACGTGCCCGCATGAAACTATCTCCGACCCCAGTGTGATGGCATGTCTGCAAGTCACGAAGGTGGAATAAAATAGCAAAAATTTTTACTCTGTTTTGGTTCAAGTGTCGGTATTTCTCCTCTCGTACCTTCTACGTGCCCGCATGAAACTATCTCC